CCAATACTGATGGCACTTCTTTAATTTATTGCAGTGAAATTAGAGAATCAGTTATAGAATGGATTCATTTGGAAAGAGCCTGAAAGAACAATGGTCAGGGACAACTTCCACTATCGTAGGCTGCTCCAAGCCCCTCCAGCCTGGCCTTGGACACTGCCAGGAATCCAGGGCAGCCACAGCTTCTCTGAGCAACCTGTGCCAGGGCCTGCCCACCCTCACAGGGAAGAGTTTCTCTCTAATGTCTGATATATAACTCTTTTCCAGTTTAAATCTGTTACCCCTTGTCCTACTGGAGAAAAGTTAATTTCATGCTGCCTTTCCTAGAACACTGCCTCGTGGCAGGAAACCTTTGCAGACAGGGGAAGCTAATTACTTCTACTAATAAATCATTAGCACATTTCTTGTCAAGCTTTTGACCTGTGCCAACAACACATCTCCTAAACAGATTTAAAGGCATAACTGGACAGCTGGCATTTTCTGGGACCCTTCCCAATACAGTCTGCATCCAGCCTCACCATGCTTGATACAGAAATAGTTTACTTCTATAAGCACAAACAGTTCCATGCCAATTGGCCTAAGTTCCTGGACATGTTTAATTTACTAGTGGAGCTGCAGTGTTACTCTGGAAAGGTCCGGAGGAGCAACAGAAGTATCTGTCCTTGGAAAAGGAAGGACCTGCTGGAAGAAGCAACAATATCTTGATGGAAAAAGGAAATGAAAATCGATTGTGCCTCTATTAACCTTCAGCCAATGCTTCCATCTCTTCAGGGCTGGACTCCACTGCAGCTGGATGCAAAACATGGGGAGTCAAAAGAGAATAGGCTGATTGAGGGTAGACTCCAGCTAGAGGCTGGAGTTCAGACTACAGCTACTGCACAGTAGCGAGGAGGGAGCAAGGATCTGCAGTGCTGACATTCCCATGGAAGAGGAATGATTTTATTGTGCTGAAAATAGATCCTTCTTGAGATGAAGATGGGGCAGCTGCCTCACCCTTTGGCAGCTCATAGCCATGGCTTCCTCTGCCCCGTCTTCTGGGACTGGCTGTGAATTCAGGAGCAGGAATTACAGGAAGGCAGCAGAGTCAAGTGGGAAAGTGGAAGCATCTCAACATTACTAGTCTGTATCCTTTAGGACACCTCCTGAGCCCCCATCCATGTTTTTAACTTGGTACCATTCAGCTCACAAACTAGAAGCTTGACTTGAGTGTGTGGATGAGGAAATAGAGGTGGAAATAACAAATGACATGAAATACCTTGCTGAACACCCTGAGGCTATGTAAAGTGTTTTCACAGTATATCTATCAGATGTCTCATTTGGAAGCTGAGGATGGGCTGGACAAATGGGTGGTTGTAACCTTTGAAAAATGTCTGAACTGTCTCAACTGTTCAATCAGCAGCTAATTAGTAGCTGGCTGGCAGTTGTTAATGAGAGCAATACCTCTGTGGCTCACAAGGAGTCTTATCTTTCAAAATCTCCATCAAAGCCCTGTGAGTGAGTCACAGATTGCACCTTTGCAAATTTGCCAATAACGTTAAGGGATTGGAGTGACAGAGATTTAATCTGTCTGCAACTTTGAATGAATAGGGCTTGTCAGATAAAGCTTATTGCAGGGAATTGAGTTTTTCTCCTTCCAAAGGCCAGTTTTGGTGATTCAGATGCATTCAGACTGTTCTCAGACATTGCAAATGCAATCTTTTGTGCACATCTAGGGATGTATAACTTCCAGCTCATTCAGATTTCCTTTTTGTTGCCCTTGCATTCAGATTTTTTTCTACTTATAGCTGTGGTGGCAATCCTGTGCCTCAGTGAACATGGAGTCCTGGTGGCTTATGTGTCAGTGACAGTCTTACCTCTCTAATGGAAGTTGGAGCCAAGGGATAAGAAAACAGACTCCATGGATAGCCATGTCCAATACTGTTCTTGAACTACTGTAGTCCCAGCTAGACAGGGATTATTCATAGTGGCAAGCAAGCCCAAACCCTCTCCCAGTTGGGAATTCAAGTTCTAATAAGTAGAGAGCAAAAACCTGTCTTTACATGTGACACTATTTCCTGTAAGTATTAATAAATGAAGCCTTTAAAAAGAGCCACAGTATGAAAGCAGGTGTGTCACAGACAAGAAATCTCTTAGCTGGGCTCCTTTATCCTGTAGCCAAGAAAATGGGATAGGAAATATACTGCAAATATTTAGGGAAGATTTTGTCAGCATATGGGAACAATGCACCTCCATTATCCAAAGGGCATTAAAAAGCTAAGTAATAGACACATTTTAGCTTGAAAATGGGGGCACTGGGTTGCCTGCTGGAGCCTTTCCTGTCAGCTGCTGGCTGCTTTCTACCGTAAGCAAATGAAAATCACACACAGAAAGACAAAGTTTTTGATTAAGCCATCAGTAGGGCATGTGGACTGCAGGCCAGAGCTACAAACCACAGACTTACCTCATGGGAATGGCAGGAAAGCCAGATGTCAGGATCCAAGAAGAAGTATATTTTTCCCCACGTCATGGGCTGGCTCTCCCTTCACATCCATGAGCACAGCTTCCATAACTGCCAGAGTTATCAGGCTCCTGGCTTTAACCAGCTGCTGCTCTCCCAAGGGAGACAAGTCACACTGAGGAAAAGCAGACAGAGATTGCAAACTCTCTGCAGGTAGAGAAAGGGTCCCTGAGGGATCCCCCAGCATGTGGGTGTGAGTGGCACTGTTGCCCATTGCTAGCTTAGTTTGTTGTCTGAATTATAGGTGGTGAAGGTTTGGTGTAGGTGTAGTCCTGTCCTGCTGAGAAAATTTCGGGTCAACATATCTTTCCTGATCTGCAGTGTAGGAGGATTAAAAATGCAATGGGAAGGAAGAATAGAAGATAATACCTGTGCTTTATACTGGACTAGCAACTTGGCAGTTCTTTAGCCTTAAAATATATATTGGGCAGTATTCAGTCATCTCAAGGCTAGCAAAAAGCTCTAATTAAAGAAACTAATAGGAAATCCCAGGGTGAAAGAGCAACAGGAGGTATGATGTCACTTTTTTAATTGGCAGAGTTCTTGCAATAACTCTTCTGAGAAATAGGAGCACCACAAACCTCCTGGGAGAAGCCTGTTCTACTCATTAAATCCCTTGCATCTAAAGCCAGTCACAGGTGTACCAAGTTAGCTGTGACTGCTGGAAAATTTGCATTATAACATGAAAACCAGGATTGTTTGTTGCTGTCCTGACAACTGAGATGGTAACTTAATATTTGATCCACTGCTGTGTAACACTGCGTAAATAAAACAGTCCCCTGTTCAGAGGTAAGATGAGAGCACAGCAGCAAAGAGTGACTGAAAATAAGAACTGAGAGCATTAGCAAAAATCACGTGTTCTGTGGGTTTCCCAAACAGGCACAGTGATGTGGAGTGAACCAGTGCTGTACTCTGGAAACTGTCAGGGAGCTCTGTATAAAGTTCTGGTGAACCTCTGCTGAAATATTCTGTGTTGTCCCAGCATTACATGTTCAGAAATTAGACTCAAGGGAAACAGGGGCATTTGTGAGACCGCAGGGGAGCAAAGAAACTCCCTTGAGGGAGGAGCTTGGAAGAGTTCAACTTAAAGCTCTTGGGTCTTGGCCAGCACCCAAGAGGCACTAGTGAGCAACCCACTTGCTTTCAGGTGCTTCAGACCCTTACAAATCCATCCTACAGCGCGGTGCCTCCCCAGGCTCTGTCTTGTGCACTTTGCAAACTTGACTTGCCAAGTTTGAAACCCACATCAGCCCGGAGCCAGAATCACTGGGCACAGCACAAGCTGCTCTGCCCAGGCAAGGAGAGGCCCCAGATGGCCCTGGCTGCAGCAGCTTTCTGTGCCCTCCATGAACACACAGAGAGCTTTGTCTGCCAGGAGTGTGCTCTGCCCAGAGGCACAAGCAGTGCTAACAGAGGCTGTCCTGGCTGCAGAGCAGCAGCCCCTGGGCTCCAGGCTCTCCATGGCCTCTTGGCAAGGGGGACATCCCTGCCCTGCTGCTGCCTGCTGGCTTCTTGTGACAGACATGCCAGGGCACAAAGGCCAGCCCAGAGCACTGTCCTGGCAGTGGCTCAGCCTTGATAACATCTGAGGCTGAAAAGAACAGGAATGATGAGACAGGCAGATGTGCTGAGGCTTTTCCTTAACACTTCCCCATTCCTCAAGTGCTCTTGCTTTAGGCACATCCCAGTCCTGCTGTCTTTGTTCTGTGTGGAATCAGGAGTCTGCACCTGGTTTTCCTCTCATGGATTTGTCTGGCAGATTTTTGAATGAATGGAAACCTTCACTGCATTGCTGGTGATGAGTTGTGTAGATTAATTACAAGTGTTTTGAGGAATATGTGACACTAAATGGTCTCCAAAGGATGGTTCTTCTTTGGGGCATGAACCTTCTCTCCTCTATTTTCTGCCACACATGAACCATAACCTTTCCAGATTTATGATGTGGACATCTGCACTGTCTTGGCCTGAACAATTCTGTCAGCGATACATCCCTAAGGATCCCAGACCAGTTATTTTTATGGATGGTAGTATCATTGCTCCTTGGAGTTGGGTTTCAGAAACAGGGGGATTGTTTTTCACTGACATCTTAAAATTTGAGGGGGAGATTAGAATTCTCCAGGGAGTAAGTGTGACATTTGTCTCTGTCAGCTGCACAGAGTATATAATCTGTTCCTATAAAAAGAACACCAAGATTTATACAATTCAGGACATCATAAATTATGCTAAAATGTGGAGATTTTCTGAATTCAGGAAACTGAAATGTAAATTAATGGAAAAATGAAAATACACCCACATTTGCCTGCACACTGTTTATGTTACTCTCATATTTTCTTTCTGTGTCAATCCTGCAGAGGTTGTCCAGAGCTTAAACTCTTCTTGAGAAGAAATTTCTGCATGAATGCACAAAAAGGGGGAAAGACCTTCCTAGGCTGTTTTACTGGAAAAATTCTTGGAAAACAGATTTTTCCAATGCCGATTTTCCATGTAGGTGGGGAGAATACCTTTTCTTTTTTGGCAGGAGGAATGAGGTGATAGAAATGTCCCCCTTCTCTGGTTTCCATAGAATTCCCTTGGACAGACATCTCCTGTGTGGCATCAGGACTCCTTAGGAAATATGTTGGGCACATCACAGGTACCCTAAGAAATGTCTGCATGAGCTTCTCTGTGCTATCCCCCACTGTCCCCAGCCCCTTCTTCAGTATCAAAAATTGTAGTAGGCACTAATGCAGCAAAATTGTTAGGGAATTTCCTGAATTTTCCTGTGGAAGATTTCACACAGCAATATGCTCTGTGCTTAGTCGCGTCCTGCCCTCCCTCGATTGTTGCTCAGCCAAGCATTTCCCAGAAGTTCTGGGAGTAAGGGTTAGTGAGTGTGCTGTCATCCTCTTCTGCTGTCATCCCAGACCCACTGAACAGGGAGGAGTGGGAGAGCCTGGAACCTGCCTGGCTCAGTCAGCCCTGGCTCAGAACAGCATCGTCATCTCCTGAGGGACAGGGATAGAAGGAAGGAAAAACTGGGTCAGAGAGAAGTATTGGAAATCAATGCAGTGCAGCTGAAGTAACTCACCCTCTCCAAACTATGAAAGAATTGCTGACCCTGTGTCAATCTGACAGTTTTCCCCTTCAGAGAAAATTTCCGGTCCCTGGCATGACAGAACAACCACCTGGTGTGGGTCTCCTCAGAGCTGTAGGGAAACAGGGCTGTTGATGTGCCTTGCATTTAGCTCAGAGGAAGGTGCTGGGCTTCATTCAGTTCCTGCCAGAGCAGCAGCTCCCTTCATGTCCTCAGCTGAGATGTCCATGTGAAAGTTCTGACAGAGCAGTCCTGGCAAAAGACTTGTTAATATGCCCAGGAAACAATCCACACATGCAATGGCTTCTTGGATTGTTTGGGAAGAGCCCATGGCATGGCAGCTAGTAGACACTGGATTATCTGCATAACAAGGAAGTTTGGATTTTGTTTTATGCAGAGCATCCAGGGCTCTTCTGATGCAGGCCAACAAAGTGGCATGTGCAGGAAGAATGTGATTCCCCTGCTAGTGTCAGGAGTACAATGTGGCATGAATGAACCCTTTCCTAGCATGGTATTGTATAACCTCCAGTGAGCAGCTCATCCAGAAGAGAAGGCAGGTGCATGCCAGAGAGCACAGGGAGAACTAATCTCCTGCTAATAACACAGACAAAGGGAAGCAGAGTAAAAAAAAAAAAAAAAAAGATGTGATGTAATATAATGATGAACCGTAACCCTGGAAAGAGGCCATCCCATCAGTCATTTTAGAAGAATAGATATAGAGTCACAACAGTCACTGTAAAATTTCCAGCCCTTGTTATAAATTCAGTATTTACAAGGCACGTTGTTCTCCCCCAGAGAATTCTCTCCCGAGTGGTGAGAAATGTTTAGCATGTCATGAAGGCTTTTGTTAAATTATTTTTGTGATTTGCAGATTGTTATTCAGGAGTGGGCATTTTGGTATACCATTTGTCTGTCTGAGACTCTAGTTTGTGCTTTACACATCTGTCTGGCTAGAGAGGCTTGATAAATATCCCTGTCATTCATTTGCTATCCATGACAAAGCCAAAACTTCTTGAGCAGAAGAACATTGAAACTGCTGGAAGTCCATCTGGAACAAAAAAGAAGATTGAGCCTTACATTAAAAGCAAGACTGATGTAATTTGGAAATGAGGATAGAAACACAGAAACAATCACCTCCCCAGTCTGCTTGTAACAATCAACCTAACTTACAGTCAATTCTGTAATCTCATCAGGTCACAAATTATTGCCAAGTTATAGTGAAAACAGAAAATATATGGAGAAAAATTTCTGATATAATGCTGCAGTGACCAGAATTTAATGGCAGCTTCCAGATCTTAATTTCTATAAAATTTTTTTACCTCTAAAGTTCTCAAAATATGGATATATAGGTGTTTTAGATCAGAAAGCACCTCTAATTTTCAAAATGAATTAGCAAATGGACTCTTTGCATTCATTCATTTTGCTCCTTATATTTTCCTTCAGCCTTTTTTGCTCCTTGTTTTTTTTTTCCTCCTCAGCAGAGATATATAAATAAATCCATCTTGTATCAGTTTCATCTCCCTAGACTATCTTTTCAATCACTCAGCAAGTGTGACCCATCATCATTCAAGCCAATCTTTTCAAGTCTCTCATCAAAAAGGAGTTCATCCATTCTCATGAACATTTTAATAATTCTGATTGGGTGGAATAAGAGAGACAGGGAGAGAGAGACATGCAGTATGGACCAGGAGGCAGGAGAAAACAAAAAGCAGTGGAGAGGTGAGTAAAGGGAAAGCTGTTTTCAAGCAGCGGGAGAAGGCATTTTCTCCTCAGTACTAACTCTAATGACCACCCTGTTGAGAAATAAATATTTCTTTCTTCTCAAATAGATCCTTTCAGTAATTTGACAGAAATGGACTGGAGGTGTTTTCCAAGCCACCCAAAACTCACAGTGCTGCTGCATAGGATGTGCCACCTCAGGGGTCAGGCTGGCCTCAGGAGAAGGACCATGATCTCATTGCTCTATGCTTCACAGTTGCTTGCATGAAGGTCACACTCAGTCTGTATTTACAAAGTCACCTGCTCGTAAAATAGCTCACCCTGCAGTGCCCAGTGAGCACATACTTTATGTCTTCCCAGTCACCACCAGTACTTCTTCTTCCCCTCCCTTTGATGTTTTCAGCTGTTTCTTTGGGCACTCCTGCTCACAAGCACTTGTGGTGTGTGAAGGCACCAAACAGAACCTTCCTGCCCCTCCCGCAATGCCAGGAAAAAGCAAGGGTTTTGGCAAATTGATCTGTTACCCATGGCCTAAAGAGATAATCATCAAGGTACTGGGCAACGGGCATGAAATTGGGTGGAAAAACACAGAATATACCCAAAGCTGATAGACCTTTTCTTCAGACATTTTCCAGAGATTCATCTTTGCTTTTTCTTTTAAAATTACACATTTCCCTTTAAAGATTGCAAACCTCTACTTATCACTGTTTAAATAATATTTATTCATAATTCCTCTTCATTTTGAAAGAGCCCAGCATCACAGGCAAATGGTGAACATTCCCCACAGTGAATAAAATTGCCAGTATCAAGCCTTAAGTTACATGTCACAAATCAAATACTGGGGTTTTTTGGGCATTAGATTATTCAGAGTAAAGGACTTTAGTTAATCTTAAGGAAATAAAAATTCTCAAGAAAAATAATTTCTGTGGAGCAGGGATGTGTTCATCTACCTCTAATGACAGGAAAGGGAATGGAACTCATGTTCTAAGATATACCTGTCACTCTTTCACATCAAGATTATTATGGACTTGGAAGTCTCTGCAATAAAAACAAGGTATCAGATGCATCTATTTTAAGCTTTCTCTCAGAGGTGTATATTTATGCCTATTATGGATCCATGTTTTTCCCAAGATCAGTTACCTTTACATCAGCACTTACCAGCTGACAGGCAGCCTGACTCCAGGAATAGTGTGTCCCTGCAAAATGATGCCTGTCCTCCATGTATGGCAACAAATCACAAAGTGAGGAGAAATTAATTTTCCATTTCACTGCTATTAATATTCCATTTTGATCCCGATAATCTTCTGCAAGTTACAGGGTGTGCAGTGAAGTTCAGCAGAGTGCAATGTGTGGGAATTTTGTGTTGCCCAAATGTACGCTTTATAACAGAAAAGCCAACTATTATTTTTAATTTAAAAAAATTTCAGTTTTTTTACATTAAAAAAATCCCACAATATCAATAGTTTGTGCAAAGCACTGTAAGATACTAATTTATTAAGAAAGAAAGAAATAAAAACATTTCATTTAAAACATGTTGTGATTGCTTTAAATAAATATATGTAATCCATTCCATATCTTCTGTGATAGAATCAAAGCAAAGAGAATGGAGAATGGCTATTTCCAAAGTCTATCTGCCCTTCAGGAAACAGACATAGATTTCAAACTTTTCTACACTTTAATTGCAATGTTTTTAGGGAAGCCACAAGAGCAGCATGTAAATTAAAGGATTTGCGTTCTGATCTTTCTTTTACGATGTTATGAAAGACTGTGGGATGGCTCCAATCACTTTCAGTCCCTCTGGTGGACACCAGACTGGTATCCAGATACCAAATATTATCACTAGTGCCCAATAACACTTCACTGGGTTGAACTTGTTTCTATAATCTTATGCAAAACCTCAGAACATTTCTCATCGTGAAACCCAGGATGCTGCTGGCTTTGTGTCTACCAGGTCTTTTTCTGCTTTCCAGCCAGTCACCCTCAAACCTGTGCTGGTATATGAGGTTATTGCTCCCCAGGTATGGAACTATCAGTTTTCGTTAACTGAACTTATGTCAACCTGTTTCTCCAACTTGTCAAAATCCCTCTGAATAACAGCACAGCTATGTGGTGTATCAGCCACATCTCCCAGTTCTGTATCATCAGCATATTTGCTGTGTGTGCACTCTGTTCCAGCATCTAGAATGCTAATGAAGGGGTTAAAAGAATGTGGGCATTTGTTTTGATCACTGGAACACAACACCGTTTTTCTGCTCAACTATTTTTTTCCCAACAAGAAAGTCAAAACATGAAAAACATTAATGTAAATTACCTGTGAGGGACCACAAAGTGCAACAAACTGTTGTTTCAGAAATTTTAAGCTGCCAGATGCTGAGTTCAGGAAGGCAAAATGTTGTGTTAGCTTTTGCTCTTATGTCAGGCACTGTGTACCCTTCCACAATTCACGGTTTCCCTGCAGAAAAAGTAATATAAACAATTAAAACAGGATTTTTATCTGAAGGGTTTAAGGCTCAATCTGACACCTTGGGAAGGCATTCTAGGTTGCAGGAAGGACAGCCTCCTCGTTCCTTTATTAGACAACCACTGATATCCTTACAGAACCTTGTCCTCAAGAGAGAGTGCTTGATAACCAGTTCCCAGGCTCACAGAAGCTGTATCTCTTGTCTTCTAGCTGCAATTATAAATTGCTGGCTATCATGACTGGCAAAATATTCAATAATAGCATTGCATTTCAGAATAGGGGACCCCTGTCCTGGAAGCAGACCAACGTACAAATCACAGCCTTTCACTCTCTGTCAATGTAAGTGTTTAAACTGTTCTTCAAACTTCTACAGAGTTAGATCATTTCAACGTTGTAACAAAAATATCTTTTTAGGATTTGTTGTTGTTGTTGTTTTTAAACCTAACATGGTAAATGATCAATATTCAAAAGAATAACCATGAACAGGCTGGTTTCCTGGCACAGCAGTCCTTACCCCTGTGTGCAAGGTCCCACGCTGATGGGGAAAAAACCTTGTCCATTCTGTGGCAATTGAAATTGTAAATCTCAGCAACAATCCACAGGAAAACATCAAGTCCCTGCCATGTTTTCCTCTACACAGTTCCTCATTTAGCCATGAGATTCCCTGCCAGAGCTGAGGGTCCCAGCCTGTTCCCTTGCACACACAGTGCTACATTATAGTGTGTAGCAGTGTGCCCCTAAATATTTTTTCTACTTTCTGCATAACCATAAGAGAGAAGAATTAAAATTATCCATCTAGATCGAATAGTTAGGAAATGAAAGAACAGAAAAAGACTCTGGAGAGAAGGAATAATACAATCTGATACATTTAAAGTGTATGCATCAGAGTGCAGTGGAGAAGGATTCCCAGCAAACACAGGTCTTTAACAACACAGTTCATGCTCTGTAGCAGGGGTTCATGCTGGATCAGCAGCAGTCCATTAGTCATGACATGTTAGTAAATCACACAAGAAATTCAACACCATTTTTGACAGGAGCAGGTGCATCACACGAATGTCTCTAGACTTTGGCAAATCTTCAGGAGTGTGTAATTTCATTCCCCAAGAAGCAAAACAAAGCTGAGCATTTTCAGATTGTTCAGTAGCTTAGTTATTCTTTAACAAGTTTCTTTTAACAAATTTACCTCTGTAGTCACACAATTAGCCATGCTAATAGTTTCAGGGTTAGATTGTGAATGGAACAAAGCAGCTGGCAAAGTACCAAAGCCATCATCATCTGACAATTCTTCTTCATTTCACAAAAGTGAGACATAAACCTATGTAATGTGCTCTCATGCCACACAGGGACATATCCAGTCAAAAAGACACTGGGAACCAAAAGATTTTGGGCATGCTTACCAAGGAAAGATTATTCTCTGTCATCGCCAGATTCTTACTCAACATGGACACTGATTTATGAAGGGCATATAAACAAAACCTGGGGGAAGAAAAAACAAAAAGGACTGAGGACTATCATGAGGAGTTCAGCAGGAGCAAACCATGCAGACCTGTAAAAATCTCCTGTGAAAGAGCAGGTGTGTGTGGAGAAAAGCCAAAGGGCTGTCTGTAGGGCTACAGCAGGGTCAGAGCTCTCAGAGAACGAGCATCTATAGAGACAGCCTGCAGGAAGACTTCTCTGATGTGGGATTTAATCCTAATTTTACCTGCCACTTCTCCTAGGCTGGACCTAACTGCTTTCAATTGAGCTTTGTTTTGGAGCAGTAAGTGGCTGAGCCATTCAGAAATGTGCCCTTTCCAGAGTATGTCAGACTGCTGAGGATATCAGGAAGCAGCTGGACACCACGGGAGCTCAAACAGGAGTATTTGCACCTACCTTAAGCTCTGTGCATCAGAGGGAAGGTAACTGGCCTTGCATTTCCCTGTTGATTTAGCTCCATGGACAGAATCTCTCATGCCAGAAATTCCCTCAGACAGGCAGCCAGTGACCCATTTGGCTTATGTTAATAAGACAAGTCATCTGAGAATGAACAGTAATAGTCTAGTGAGAATAAATATACACTGTCTTTCCTGGTGCCTCTAAAACCCTCTAATGGAAATTTTACTATGTATTCAGTAATTATATTATCAAGCTTTCCACTTCTGACTCGTTGAGGAGCGTGACAAAATGTTTGAGAATGTCTAGAACAAGACAAAGAGCTTGAGAATTTAATGAAGCATTTGTTTTTGAGTTGTTTCTGCAACTCAGAATTACTGTTAAATAGAAAAGAGTTCTTCTGGACTACATTTTTATCTTTTATAACCCAAATGCTCTTTAGATGTCTTCTCCAGCTGCACTGATACCTTTGGGAACAGTTTCTAAACATGACTGCATTTGGCTTAGTAACTCAGAATTTATTCAACAAGGCTTAGAAATAGGACACCTTGCCTCCCACAATCCTATTTATTTTGAAAGATTTTTCTTGTTTCTTCTTTGACTGATGTACTTTCCAACAAGCTTCCTACCTGTCAACACTGACAGGTTAATTACTGGGTTTAAAATACATGAGAAATTGTAGCATTTGTGACTTAGAAGCCAGGCAGACCGTGGAGCTTTCCAAACATGCTTGTCATTCACTAGGTACCTGAGACGCTGCCAAAATATCTTCAGTAGTTGTTATTGCATGTCTTCCAGTCCAGCTAAGGTCAGATAAAATGTTAGCTTTATAATAAGAAAACAAGTCTAGAAAAGTAGCATAGGAGCACTGAACCAGCAGGAAGTCTTGCCCTCTTCTGTTATGAGCCCCAACATTGCAAAAAGAGGGAAACATCAACCACTTACTTTCTATTAAATACAGCCCTGGGAGCAGTTGCTCTCCTTGGGCTGCTGCAGTGGAGGTGGCAGGGCCACTGATGCTGTGTCTTGTCCTTTTGTTAGCCACACACTCACAAGCACCTCCCTGGTTCCTTTCTGGGGCAGAGTGCCCAGTGCAGATGAAGCCCTGTGCCCTGAGCAGTGCCTGCTTCTCTCAGCTCAAGATCTTTTCTTCCAGCATTGATGACCCAAACATTTCCAGCTGTTCTTTGGCCCATCCCACCTGTTCTTTGGGGAACACATGAAACTGGCCCAACCGGCTGGATTTTAACCCCTCTGCTGTGATTTGCTCCTAACAGGTAGGCCAGGCAGTTTCACCATCTAGGTTTCAACAAGATGGGCCCAGCCTTTTCAGGAGGTTTGAAGCACCCAGGTTTCAACAAGATTGGCCAGAGAGTTTCAGCAGATTTGAAGTATCCAAGTTTCAGGGAGATGGGCCTGGCTGTTTCAGCAGGTTTGAAGCACCCAGGTTTCAACGAGATGGGCCCAGCATTTTCAGGAGGTTTGAAGCACCCAGATTACAGAGAGACAGGCCAGGCAGTTTCTGGAGGTTTGAAGCACCCAGGTTTCAGGGAGATGGGCCAGGCAGTTTCAGCAGGTTTTAAGCACTCCGGTTTCAGGGAGATGTCCCTGCTGGCCTGCAGAGGAGCAGGGACCAGAGCAGGGTCCCCTCATGGCTCCAGGCTGCCATCTCCTGGCACTGGGGCCTGGTCAGCTGCTGGCCCAGGAGCTCCCTGTGACTGACAGGAGCCTGATGGGCCCTGAAGCTGAGAATAAAGCTGAAGAAGCCTTGTCCTGATATCAACAGCCTAAATAGTGAAGCAAAAGACATGGCCACAGCCCAACTGATGTCTTTTTGCCCTACACCACCCCTCACCCTGGGGTATTGCCTCAGATGTCTGTGCTTTCTTCACATTACCAAAGGCCAGAGGTAACTGTGGGACAGTGGGTCACTGCCTCATTGTACCCATGGTCTGTTCAGGTTCCCTCCACCTGTGGGGGAGCAGACAGGCAGTTTCCTTGCATTGCCTGCCAGTGCTTACCCCTCATCTCAACTTCCACAAAGCTGGGGGGTGCTCACCTTCCTGCCCAGTCCCCAGCACTGCCTCAGGCTCCAGCCTGAAGCTGATCTCTCTGAGGTGACTTACAGGTACTATTTCATATACATCTATGAATATATCCCAAGATTTCAGGTCCATGCAGAGTTCCCCAAGAACAGGCAGGGTTCAAGCATGTATGGCTATCTTCTGAGACAGGGAAGGTATTTGATACACATTTCCAATAAATGGTGCATCTTCTTACAGAAGTGCAGTTTGCCCTATTCTTTCTATCCAAGGTTTTCTTAGAAAACTTATCTTCCTAAGTCCCTGCATGTAGTTGGTCTCCTTGACCTTGTTTCTTCTTATTTTCTCTTCTGCTACCACTGCTGAAAAACGAGCTGATATTTTCACACAATTACACAGAACATGTGGCAGAACTTCCTCCTGACAGGGGATTCTCAGCCCAGAGTCCATTTCTTCATAAATGACACTGTATTTTGTTTCTGTATCTGTGTAATTTGTGGTTTAACAATAGTGAATTTGGTGTATTATTTATTGGCACTGTTTGCTGAGCGTCATGGAAGCCTTCTAATGTACATTTCTAATGTATAGTTCCTTGTCCTTCCTTAGTTCTTGAAATAACTAACAGAATTTCATTGGAAATGTGTTCTTCCTCTTCAACACCACTCTGACTTGCTCAACACCCGCTTGACCAACACAGGCAACAGCAAAAAAAACTTTTCTCTTTCACTCTGTGTCTTTCAAAATCACTTATGTGAGTAAGAAGCTTTCATTGCTCATTGACCAAAGTGTTATTAAAGGGATAATAATTTGGAAATTAGATGATAAAAAGCTGTACCACCACAAAACTACACAAAGGTTTTAAAAGGCAAAACTGTGTCCAAAGACTAATGGTGATAAAGACTTCATCCGTAAAAAACAAAAACAAATAACCACTCATGATGTGAATGCAAATGAATCTACTCTTTATTGCCTATGTATTGAGCTGATTGCAAATATCAAATCTGGAAGACAGTGACAGAGGGTTCACATTTTGTGCATCCCTCAGGTCACTTTGATGCCTTGTGACATCTTCACTCTTCCTCTTCTATCTTCTTGCCATGCATGTCACGGCTCTTCACTCGGAGCTTGTTGACCTGTGACTCTGCAATGTCAGCCCGCTCCTCGGCCTCCTCCAGCTCGTGCTGGATCTTGCGGAACTTGGACAGGTTCACATTGGACAGCTCCTCCTGTGAGATCAGAGCGAATCAGGG